CAGCAGCTTCTCCACCAAATTCATCAAGCCTTGCTTCCTTCTCTTGATCATTCTTAGTGTTTCTTTGTTGCTTTCTAAGTACTTTTGAGTTGCTTTCATTATTTGCTTTTAGTTTTTAAATCCCGAGCACTTTACATTCCTTTATTGAGCTTTGTTTTGTTTCCATTGTTACTTAGTTATTTTCTACCCATTCAAATTTATATAAATCCTGCACTTAGCTTATCTTTACTTTGTCTTTACTTTATTTTTAGTTAAGAGAATTGTGTTTTTGGAGGAAAGAGCACGTGACTTTCCCCCTTGCTTGAAAGAGAAGGGCGAAGCTCTCAATCCCGAGCAAAACTCTCCGTTAGTTAACTTTTGTTTTTCACACATGCATTTCAATTTCAACCATTTTACTTGCTGTATTTTCTTCAATATGTCTTTCTAAATTCCCGTCTCTAGCCCGGTTATGGATAGTTAGCCTTTTATTTCTAAAAAAAGGTTGCTAAGAAGTAGTGTTTTTGCTTTCCACTCATTGCTCAACATGTTTTCCCAAAAAGTTAGGATTTAGAGAAGGCCACTGTAAGTCTTAACAAGTCAATACTGAAAAGGTTGCTTATTTGCATTGTTGAGTGGTTAAACCGAGGAGAGGAGCGCCTTAGACATAAAGGTTCCGGTTAAGTAGCCTAGACATAGGACCTTAACCCGAGGTTGCGACTATTTCCATCCTAAAACTAAGATATCTCTCATAATAGACATATTAAGGAATGTCTTGGGACTTTGAACTTGCTTAGACATAAGTCAAGTGAAAAGCGTAGTCGTTGGTTCCTAAAGTAAAATGCATATTGTCCTTAGCGTATCCTTGATTCTTGTGACCACTTCCAATTTTACAAGAATCACTCATTTCAACGTTCACTATTCATTAAAACTTTAGAGTTTGGAAATTATTCAGAAGTCCTTGAGGATCGATACTTGGATACTCCATCCATTTTATATTACTCTGACAGGTGTGCGCTTGCATCTATAGAATTGTTACCACGCTTAGTGCGTGCGTTCAGCATAACCTCAATCAGTACCCGCGTAGTTGGGGCAAACAATGACTCCCAACCATTCTCCACAAGCCTTCTTCTGACATATTCCGGCACCGACTCTTGTGCCTCATCAAAGCCCCTCTAAAGTAGAATTTCACGTGCTGTGAAGTTGGGCCTTCGCACCTTTAACCTCACCCTTTTTACTCTTGATGGTGTTTGTTCGGTAGAATCGGGCTCCTCTTCCTCGAGTGATTCTTCTGCCTCTCTTTGCACCATAGCCATCTTGGCTGTTTTAGATGGACCATCCTCGACTTCTTTTTGGGCGGGCAAACGTGCTACAGCGGCTCGGGTCCTAGGCCTAGAAATTGCGTTGGCACAATTTCTGCTACTTTCTTCTTCTTTTGCGTTTTCTTCACCACTTTGATCAAATTCACCTCCTCATCTGAAATCTCTGCAGTAGCAACAAAGTTTGGGTCAGAAACATTCAAACTTGACAAAGAAGAGGTCTTACTTTGTGAATAAGAGGAAGATGATTCCTCCATGGCCTCACTATGGACATCTATAGGACCGGATGTTCCTTCTTGCTCTTGTGCAAGGGGCTCCTCGTCATCTTGCTGAGATTCGTGCACCGAAGTTCGTACTCTCACTTCATATTGAGAGATATCATCATTTTCTTCTTCCTCTTCAAACTCATCTCCATGCACTTCTTGGGGTAATTCTCCAAGATCTTCATCCTCTCCATCAACATTCAATTGTCCTTGTGTTACCCCACTATTTCCATCATCTTTCAATGGATCTTCTCCCCTTGCTTCATTCAACGCCACCAAAACTTCTGTAATTTTCGACGTTGTCTTTTCCTATTCTGAATCATAAAAAAACTAGGGGATTTTTAGTTAAGATAGGATCTAGAAAAGATGGAGACAAAATACCTTGTAGAGTGGCCGGTGGAGTCTCAACCATAATTGTGCTAGGCGCAATTTGGCACTCAATTTTGACCGTGGCTGAATCTGAATGCTCCAAGGGCTCCATGTCGTGTTCTGAGTCCCCACTAACCTGTTATTGACCTTCAACATGCACAGCAACAGTAGTGGAAAGAAGGGGAGGGATAGACAGTTCTAAATACTCGGAAACAGGGTTATCTTGAGAAAGATTCATCCTACGATGTATACTCATGCTATTTAACTCAAGTTGAATCTCCTCACTTTCTTTCTTTGAGTTCTCCATGAATTCTTGTCATTTTATGTTTAATTCCTCAATTTTCGCATAAACCCTCTCATTCTCTTTATCCCTAATTTCTTTATTTTTACTGAACATCTCTACTCTCTCATGAAGTCTAGCAATTTCTTCATCTAAAGCAGTACCTTTTTCCTCTAAAGTTCGATTTTTTCAAAGATAGACTTTATTAACTCCTCCTAATTTCTTCTCACTATGACCCTCTTTATTAACCCTAGCATCCTTAGATTCCATATTAATTTTTTCAAAATTTGTACCACCTATGGATAGATTTCTCCTAGGGTTCATTCTTATAGCTTCCTCATATTTTCGTCTTTGTTCCCTATGATCAAAAACTAATTTTTCATGAGAAATCCTAGGAGGTTCAAGAGGAATATACCCGGTTTAGTTGGTGGAGGCAACAACACTCTCTTTTTTTCCTTCTCTTTGTCGTGTAGCTTGGAGCAAGATGAACCTTCCATGGTTCTTGATCTTGCTTCACGATCAACAACGAAAATCCCTCCAATAAACCCTAAAGGTGCTGAAAAAGTGAGGGATGAGAGACTTTGAGATTCTTTGAGATTTCTTGAGAGAAGATTTGGAAACAAGTGAGAAAATCTTGATAAAAATCGTGAATGCGGTGTTTTGAAATCCTAGGGCTTTTTGTTTTATGTTTTAAAACATATTAAAAACATAATTGGGTTTAAAATTGGGCCTCCTTTTGATTTAAAAACAACCCAAAACCTATTTAAAGATAACCCACATAATGCCCACGAAAGCCCTGATCCATAACTCAAAAATCGTTCTTAAATTGAACCTGGAGCAATGTCGACGAGGGTCGGATCTTGATCTTGCAAAATTCAAATGCAAAAACAAAAATTGGATTTGGAATCTACAAAAAAAAGCTTTAAAGAAAATGTAAAAATTTCGCTAAAAGAAGACAAAAAATATTTTATATAAAAACGCCCCCAAACTGTCCGAGGGACTGTTTCCACTGTTTTCTCACAGGTCTTTCAGTAATACAGAGGTTTTACCTCTGTCAATATACTCACCATAATATTTCTTGACCCGATGCCGATTTACCTTAAAGATATTACCTTTGGAACCCTTTAAATCCGTAGCTCCATGTGGATAAACATGTTCAACTACGAATGGGCCCGACCATATAAACTTAAACTCACTTGGAAACAACTTTAATCTAGAGTTAAAAAACAAAACTAAGTTTCCAGGTTCTAAATTCTGGTCTATTATCTTTTTATCATGTCACTTCTTAGTTTGTTCTTTGTACATCTTGGCATTCTCATAAGAAAACTGACAAAATTCATCCAACTCATGTAACTGGAGCAATCTCGCTTCACATGCAGCAACATAATCAAAATTTAGTTTCCGCATAGCCCAATATGCACTATGTTCTAATTCTAACGGAAGATGACATGCTTTACCAAAAACAATGCGATATGGGGACATGCCTAACGGAGTTTTATAAGCAGTTTTATGTCTACAAAGCATAATCAAGTTTAATAGCCCAGTCCTTCCTATTTACATTCACGGACTTCTCTAAAATTGACTTTATTGCCCTATTTGATACCTCCGCACATTAGTTCGAAAGGCTGATTCGAATCTGAAGCTGTTATTATTGGAGCATGTGTGAGGGCATACTTCAGCGTATTGAAAGCCTGCAAACATTCAGATGTGTAGTTAAATTCTTTATCAATCTCAAGCAAAGAACAGAGAGGTTTAGAGATTTTTTAGAAATCTTTAATAAATCTACGATAAAAACCAGCATGCCTCAGGAAACTGCGAATGCCGTTGACATTCACAGGTGGGGGCAATTTCTCTATTGTCTCTATCTTCGCCTTGTCTACTTCTATGTCCTTTCTGGAGACTCTATGCCCTATCACAATTCATTCTTGCACCACAAAGTGACACTGCTCCCAATTCAGAACTAAGTTTGTTTCTTCACATCTTTGCAACAGCTTCATCAGGTTGCCCAAACATTCTGCAAATGACTTTCCAAACACCGAAAAGTCGTCCATAAACACCTCTACCACTGATTCTACCAAGTCAGAAAAGATAGTCGTCATGCACCTCTGGAACGTTGCTGGAACATTACAAAGCTCGAATGGCATTCGCCYGAAAGCGAACGTTCCGTAGGGACAAGTAAAAGTCGTCTTCTGCTGGTCCTGAGCAGCAATTGTAATATGATTATAACCACTGTAGCCGTCTAAAAAACAGTAATACTCTTGACCTGCCAGCCTGACCAGCATTTGATCAATGAAGGGAAGAGGAAAGTGGTCCTTCTTTATGGCTTTTTTCAGCTTGCGGTAATCCATACATATACGCCATCTAGATACTGTCCTCATGGATATCAACTCATTCTTTGCGTTCTCCACTACAGTCATGCCTCCTTTCTTAGGCACACACTGCACTGGACTTACCCACTCGTTATTTGAAATTGGATATATGATGACTGGCGTTTTGCTGAACGCACGCACTAAGCGTGGTAACAATTATATAGATGCAAGCGCACACCTGTCAGAGTAATATAAAATGGATGGAGTATCCAAGTAT